CTTTATATATAAAGCAAACAATGAAGTGGTTAAAGTACTTGTGATCATCTATTTTTTCAAACAAGTGACCATAAGGTTTGCTTGAACTTTCTTGATATTCCCAATGGTGGCAAACTACTACATTGTCCAATGATCTGAACCTTGCCATTGCATCAGGGCATCCGCCATCACATAGTGCTTGATGTGCTACAACAATTTATTAATTGTTATTACCATCCTCCTTACTTTAAGTGTGTTATTGCTTGGTGTGGGCTCCTATTCTATTTGCCCCTATAGTGCAGTTCTAGACTATGTTTCATTTTATTTATTGATTGACTCGAGTTTGTTTGTAACTCTTTGTCACCTATGTGTTTACATCTGCCAATGCCTATTACATGCCCTTTGCCCTTCCCCATGGGAGGCAACGACGATCATGGCTTTGTGATCATGCTTAGCTCTGGATGATCGACTCGCAGCGTCCAAGACCATTTTAACCTCCCTGACCCCCCTGCCCATCAACATCACTGAATTGAGGCTAATATGCATGTGATCAATTGATTATTTGCTGCTAAATTGGTGTAACCTATGGAACTGGCCCTCCCCAACAAGGATTAGCAATGCTTTGCCCCCCTCATTTAATTTTCATGGCTCCGCCACTGCTGATATGATTATCTTATATTGGTGGTGTATCTTCTATTTGCTTTCTTGAAGTTCTAAGGTTGCTTTCTTGTTTGCTTTAACTCGACATGGAACCAAAAGTTTTGAGGTATTGTGGTTTTATTAGATTGAATTTTGCTACATAGTGGTAGTTCCTCATCTGTTAAGGTGGGAACTCCCTAGGAATGTGGGTTCATGGTACTTCGGTGAATCACTAATCTCTGTGTGTGTTGCGTTTGGATCCACCACCAGGTCAACATAGCGCCGATACAATGATTTCTATGTTTTTTTTGCGGGTGACGATGATTTTTATGTTATGTGTAAGCACATCATAACCCCTTGCATCCCATATATCGCCTCCACTAAATGAGACCTGAAAAGAGATAGGGAGAGGCTTAACTCATGACCGAAGGACGGCGCGGCAAAGCGCGCGACATCCTCTAGTATGTATACAAACTCACTATTTGAACTCACGGTACCCGGATTAGGACATTTATATCGACCAAGAAATAAGAGCATGCAATGCATGCACCTTACGGCCAGTGGCATGCCGCTTCAATTCCCACAATCACCGACCCGCCTTTAAAGTGAGTAACATCCTTCTCCACTCTTGATACACATACTCATGCTCGAGGCTATTTTAATTGTGTGTATTGCTCAAAATCGTTTTGATCCATTGACATTCCCTCACAGGTTCAGATCGATTTATCCCTCTCGGGTATTGTTGAGTGCTTCAATTGTTTGCCACCATGATTTGTCTTGGTTTTCTCTTGTTCCTAAGAAGGCGCCCATTGAGCATGCAAGAAATGTGTTGTGGCAGCCTAAACTTGTTGGATTAGCTAAAATTAAAGTGGAGACCAAATTGGGAATTGGAGGCATCCGTAAAGTTTTGTGAAGATAGCTTAAAGAAGTTCGTAACAAATGAAATAAAAGAGCTACACTTTACGGTTTTATTAGTTTAGAAATAGTGATTACAATGTTGTGTGAAATTTGTGACTTGATCATGATATTCAATTAATTCAAGCTGATTTTCATGTAAAATAATGGTCTTTTGTCCAAAGTTTGCAAGTGCACAACGTCTGTTTTGAAATAATAACCAGAACAAAAGTCTTTGCATATTTATTGCAAGTTAATTTATTACTAGTTGGTTGAAGACAAATGGACGAAGATATTAATTTAAAGACTAAAATGCATTTACTAAAGCAACTTCCTTTTGACAAACTTTTTTTTGGAAATGGAGGAGGAACCCCGGCCTCTGCATATGGATGGTGCATGTATCCACTTTATTAATTATTCACACAAGACCTTACAAAGTCATATAATAGTAAGACTAAAGCCACCGTCTAGGCAACACCTGTCGCTACTCCTATCCAGTTGATGAAGGGATGCTGATAGTCTGGGCCTAATACCAAACAGACCTCGCAGGCAAACCTAAACATCTAAGACCTGAGGTCCCAACTAGGACGCTTGTCGGGTATGGGGCACCTACCAGTCCACACTAGTAGAAAAACGACCTTATGTGAGACACATTAGTCCCGGTTCGATTTTGGCCCGGTACTAATGGTACCATTAGTCCCGTTTCGAACGGCTATGCATTAGTCCCGGTTTGTGTTGAACCTTTAGTACCGGTTCTTGCCACGAACGGGTACTAAAGGGGTGGTGGTAGGCTGGCGTCAGGCCGGGGTCCCACGAGCCCCTTTAGTCCCAGTTTGTGACATAAACCGGGACTAAATGTCTAACCTATAGTCCCGGTTTGTGTCACAAACCGAGACTAAAGGGGTCTAACCTATAGTCCCGGTTGGAGACACAAACCGGGACTATAGGGCAATTTTCAAACTCTACCCCCCGTAACGCCTTTTCAATTTTGAAAAAAAATGATAAAAACTTCAAAAATTAAAATTCTTCGAGATGTAGTTATGTTACTACATCTACTAGTTAGGTAAATTTAAAAACATAAGTTTCGACATGTTTTGCAAAAAAGTGTGATGAAAAGTAAAACGACTATATCTTTTGCATACGATGTCGAAAAAAAGTATAATATATCAAAATGTTCAGCACGAAAATCCACATCCGATTTTGACTGCCGTAGGACGTATTGCAAATTTTTTGAATCCTCAAATTCTAAAAGGAAAAAAGTTATGCTCAAATTTTAGTTTTTCTGAATTTTGGATAAATCTGGTCAAACTGTGGTCAAACTACTTATTTAAGAGATATTAGTGTTACTAAATAATTATCCAAGAATATTAGTGTTACTAAATAATTATTCAAGAATATTAGTGTTACTAAATAATTGTTTCAATTTTTTAGAATTTTGGTCAAATCTGGTCAAACTATTTATTTAAGAAATATTAGTGTCACTAAATAATTATTGTTTTTTAGAATAATAGTTTCAAACTCCAACAGTGAAACGTGTGACTTCATGCTCAAGCTAAACTCCTGAGGGTTAATAGGATTGTCAGTTTACTATTGTCAGGAAAACAACAGGTGCAGACTTGGAAACTAGGGGGAATAGAACATGGAAGTTAAGCATGCTCAGGCTGGAGTAGTGAGAGGATGGGTGACCGGCTGGGAAGTTAGACGATTTGGAATGAGTGATGTAGACTAAATCATGAAATAATTCAGAAAATTGAAAATCCAAAAAAAACCAACCGGGACTAAAGGTCCCCCAGACCACGGCGCGGGCTCGTGCCACGTGGTGGGCATTTGGGCCCGGTTCATGTTGAACCGGGACTAAAGAGGGGGTACCTTTAGTCCCCACCCTTTAGTGTCGGTTCCAGAACCGAGACTAAAGGTCCTTACGAACCGGGACTAAAAGTCGTTTTTCTACTAGTGCCGGCGCACTCCTCAACCAGGACGCCTGCCGGGTATGAGGCCGCCGCAGCCACTTGCCATCAAACCATCTTCAAAGTTGTACTGTTGCATCTACCGTGCCAGGTCTCTCTGCCATCGACGCCACCACGACGCCAGACAATGTCGTCCTCCTGCGCGAGTCCATCCTCGCACATCGGACGCCGAATCTGCATTGTGCCACGCCGTCGAGATCCGTCGCCATCAATGTGTAGGAGGAAGCACCGCTCCACCAAAGATGCGGTCCACTGGTCCCTCGGGTCTGTGCACACCTCCAAGAACGACGCCCCCAAGAGGGAAATGACACAAGAGCGTCGCCGTCATCCGATCTACTGATCTAGGGTTTCACCCGGAGGTAGCAGATAGCTGTCTTGAACTTCTCCTTGATGATGCCTTCAAGAAGGAAATGTCGCCTCACAGCGCCGTCACCGCCGGCCTTGGCCAGGTTTTCACCCGGATCTGAACAGAGGACCTCCATCAAGCAACTTGTACACGAACCGCTGCCATCGCTGCCCGGGACTGGACGGAGAATCCAGGCCGCCGCCGCCTGACCGGCCATGGCACCACCATGGTGCCTCGGCCGACGTCGCCAGGCCCACCATGCCCTCCTGTAGATGCTCACCAGATCTGCCGGCCCGCCGAAACCCATCTGGGTACGGCGAGATCCGCGATCTGGACCGCCGCCACAGGGGCTCCTCTGCCGCGGTATCGCACTGCGCTGACACCGCTGTCACACTCACCGCCGGGAACCCGCCACTCCACGCCGCCGGTACCCCGCAGTTCCGTGTGCCGCCGCCGCCAGGGGAAGGCACAGCCACCATGCGAGGGGGAGAGCCCCACCACCGTCATCACTGGAACGCTACGGGTGTGGCCTCCGACGGCGACAGGGGAGAGAGGACAAGGGAGGAGGCCTTTGGGCCGGCGGCTGCAGATCGCCCCCCGTGTCACCTAGGTTAGGCGACGCGGGGGCAGGGACGAGACGCGGGGGCAGGGAGGAGGCCTTTTGACATATGATCAAACAGCTGGTAAATTTACAAAAAACACCATATGATGTCCATATAAATACATAGAAGATGCATCAATTGAATTGGGGCTTCTACCACTAATCTGGGAGCCAAACACACATATGTATACATAGAAAATACATCAATACATCCATTCCTTTCTTTCTCCTTTTCGACCTCGAGATTCTCAGAGTTCACACTAGACAAGAAAGAAGCCCACTAGGCAGGCAACGCGTGGGTGCAATTGCAACGGTCCATTCAGTCAACATCACCTTTGGTGACTGGGTCATCATGGTCTCTTCGCCCCACTCTGCTTGCCTTTGGTAACTGGGTCATATGGTCTCTTCGTCAACTAGCACCAACCAGACCCGAATATCTCCAGTTCTCCACTAGCATCCTCTGCAAGGTACTGTTCTTCTTCCAGCATGCATCGCACAGCCAGCCTCCTCCTCCTGATCATCATAAGCGCCAGTTCATTCTTCACGGGTGGTGCGCCGCAACCCCCGAGTTCCCATGGTGGTGGTTGCATCGCCGCCGAGAGGACTGCCTTGCTCTCCTTCAAAGAGGGCATCACAAGTGACCCCGCCGGCCTCCTTGCCTCGTGGCGTGGCCAGGACTGCAGCCGGTGGAGAGGCGTCAACTGCAGCAACCAGACCGGCCATGTCATCAGGCTTCGCCTCCGCTCTCCAAACCCGGACTTGTACGGGGATCCATGTGAAGGTAACAGTCTGTTTGCTTTCCTTGGAGCATCTAGAGCACCTGGACCTCAGTATGAACTGCTTGTCAGGGCCAAATGACAGTTTTCCTGTGTTCCTGGGCCAGATGAGGAACCTGAGATACCTCAACCTCACCGGCTTAACGATGTTTACCGGTAGGGTGCCTCCACAGCTCGGTAACCTGTCCAAGATGCAGTATCTGTCCATCGGCCAGGCTGGTAGTCGCTCTCAGATGTACTCTGATGACATCACCTGGTTAACAAACCTTCATTTGCTACAGCACGTTAGCATCGGAGGGATAAATCTCTCTGGGATACATGACTGGCCTCATACGCTGAACATGATCCCGTCTCTAAGGGTTATCAGTCTCAGTGATTGTTCGCTTCAGAGCGCAAACCAATCGCTTCCATACCTCAATCTCACAAGACTTGAGAAGCTTGATCTTTCCTGGAACAGTTTTGACCACTCAATAGCAACTAGTTGGTTTTGGAAAGCCACAAGCCTCAAGTACCTCAATCTTCAGGCCAACAGATTATCCGGCCAATTTCCCGACGCACTAGGAAACATGACATCCCTTCAAGTCCTTGACGTGTCAGAAAATTGGAACAAGTATTTGATGGTGACAGGAAACCTGAAGAATCTTTGCAGTCTGAATATTCTAGACTTCAGCAATAATGAAATAAATGGAGATATAGCAGTCATGATGGGGGGTTTGCCAGAATGCGCATGGGAATCTTTGCAAGAGCTAGATTTCAGCTACAACAGTTTAACTGGAACATTGCCAAATTTGATAGGTACATTCAGCAGCTTGAGGAGACTTAAACTCAACAAGAACAACCTCACCGGAAGTATCCCACCGGGCATTGGGTATTTAACATGCTTAGCTGCCCTTGACCTTTCGAACAACTGCTTCAGTGGAAGCGTACCCTTTGAAATTGGTTCCCTAACTAATCTATCTTCTTTGGATCTAAGCAACAACAACTTCAGTGGTATTGTGCCATCTGAAATTGGTGCCCTTAGTGATCTGACTTCTTTGGTCCTAAGCAAGAACAACTTTAGTGGTGTGATCAAGGAAACACATTTTGCAGGTCTAAAAGGTTTAAAGAACATAGACCTGTCTTCCAATAGTTTGAAGATTGAAGTAGTTCCGATTGGCTTCCTCCCTTCAGGCTGGAGTCTGCGCTGTTTTCATCTTGCCGAATGGGTCCTCTGTTTCCTGCCTGGCTTCAGTGGCAACAAGAAATCACTAAACTTGACATTTCCAGCACAGCTCTAGTGGACAAGATTCCTGATTGGTTTTGGTCTACATTTTCACGAGTCACATACCTCGACATGTCTGACAACCAAATTAGTGGCAACTTGCCAGCACATCTAGATGACATGGCGTTTGAAGAACTCTACCTCAGTTCAAACCGGCTTACAGGGCCAATACCACCGTTCCCAGGAAATATCACCGTGTTCGACATCTCCAACAATTCCTTTTCAGGAACACTACCATCAAATCTTGAAGCTGTGGAACTGCAAACATTGCTCATGTATTCAAATCAAATTGGTGGTAGCATTCCAGAATCTATGTGTAAACTACAAATGCTGGGAGATCTAGATTTATCAAGCAATCTTTTGGAGGGTGGAATTCCTCAGTGCTTTGAGAACATATCCATATCATACCTACTATTAAGCAACAATAGTTTATCAGATACATTCCCAACATTTCTGCACAATGGAAAGAATCTCGAGTTTCTTGATCTTGCATGGAATAAGTTCTATGGAAGGATACCAACATGGATAGGAGAGCTCAGAAGATTACAGTTTGTGCGACTAAGTCACAACACGTTTTCTGGGACTATTCCAGTTGAAATAACGGCTCTCAGTTATCTTCAATACTTGGATCTATCAGGAAATAACATATCTGGTGCTATACCTGTGCATTTGTCAAACCTAACAGGTATGACCCGGAAGGGCTTCATGCCTATATCCAGCGAAAGTATTGGTCCAGCCGGCTTGGGTTCAGTAACTGTAGCAGGTCAATTTGGAGCGATCTTGTCAATAATCACAAAAGGGCAAGAGCTTAAATATGGTGGCACCCTTGCATATTTTGTGAGCATTGATTTATCCGGCAACTCCTTAACTGGTGAAATTCCCACGATATCTCTTTCCTTGATGCACTGATAAATCTGAATTTGTCATCAAACCACCTGAGCGGAAACATTCCTACCAAGATTGGCGGCCTACGGTCATTAGAGTCTCTTGACCTCTCTCAGAACAAGCTTTCCGGTGAAATCCCATCAAGCTTGTCAAGTTTGACATCTCTGAGCTATTTGAACATGTCTTATAATAGTTTGTCTGGAAGGATACCATCAGGCCACCAACTTGACACCCTTAGTGCCGACAACCCAGCACTTATGTACATTGGCAACAACGGACTTTGCGGGCCTCCTCTTCAGAAGAATTGTTCAGGAAATGGTACGGTTGTCCATCCTGGAAGCAGCAATCGGGAATTTGAGTCACTGACCTTCTATTTTGGTCTTGTGCTGGGACTTGTAGCGGGGCTCTGGAGTGTGTTTTGCACGTTCCTGTTCAAGAAGACATGGAGGATTGCTTATTTTCAACTCTTTGATGAGCTGTGTGACAGAATCTATGTATATGTGGTTGTGAAGTGGGCAAGCTTCACAAGGAAGACAGATGAAGAATAAGCCGATTTCTTGAAGGAGACAATGTCCGTGCCACAAGCAATAGAATGGGAGCTCCATGTTGATCTGGCTGGGTGAGGAGGACACAGAATATGTGTTAAGTCGTGTGTCTTGTTTAGCTTTTTGTCTAAATAAAGATGTCAATGTTGGATAATTCTTCTTATATATACATGCAAGACTTTTGCTATGCAGGACTCCAATTGCACAAGGACCTTTTGCTGAATAGTTTCCACAAGTTTTCTTCTGTAATCAGTGAACTAGTACAAAATCCTGCAAAACTGCAGTTCTGCAGCATATATATAGTCTTGTAAAAGTTAAGACATTTAAAAACTGCAGCCCTGTATATGCCATATCGAACCAATCCCAGGCATATGGATATGCACTCTAAACTACAGCAACAACTTATGAATCGATGCTACGCCTTCTATGCACGGGTGCCAATTATGCAGGTGAGAGATTATTGCATGAACCCTTCCAGTTTCAAGACTTCTGATCGAGACATTACCTGGTTATAGGAATGAATGCCCACCGTCCGGACAGGACTTGCCCTGCATCGGGTGCCCACCATCTCTGATCGCAGGGTTACAGTGAGCGGGCGTCGTCCTCAGCTGCTCCTCCCGTTCGTATATTGGTGTGGCAGCCGAACGTCACCACGCCGGTGAACAGCGGGCCGAGCATTCCGTCGAACAGTTGGCGGACGCGGGCACGCCGTTCCCCGCTCTGGTGACCAGTGCATCCTAAGTGACCAGCAAGGAAAAAGGGTGGTCCGCTGGTGGCGGTGCGGCACTAGTGGCGGCCGCAGGTAGTGGTCGGCGGTGAGGAAGCGACAGCGGTCGCCCGTCCGACGAGCGGGGAGCCATAGACGAGAACACGGAGGTGGCGTGACGATGGGCAAAGTAACATTGCTCTGGTTTTTTTTTTAAGGATCTGCTCTGTTTTTGTCTCTTTCCCGTCTTTCTGTTTCGCATAATTTCAATTGGAAATTGGGCGCATAGCTTCAGGGGAAAATCCCTTATATACTGATCTCCACTACTGTTTTTATTTCTGCGGACATGCATGAAAAGTAATATATATTCTATAAATATTTACAACTATACTATAATCAAATTAAATAAATCGTATGTATTTTTCCCACAACAAAAAATGGAAATGTTATCTTTGACGTTCCCTAGATACCCAGAACGAATCTTGATGCACACTAAGGTGCCACGCATTTTTCTAGAGGTGTTCGTTGTACTATCGAACCCAGCGAACGAAGAGCACGGTCTCTTTTCACCCCACTCCTCTCTCTCGCCCTCACTCGTCTCACATTCCCCACAAAATCCACTCCTCGCGGCCCGAGCTGGCGATCCCGGCGGTGTGGCGGTCGCCGAGGAATTCGCCCCTGCCCCCTCCTTCCCCGGAGAGGTAGAGCTGCAGCTGCCCGGGAGGTGTTGCCGCAGCGGTGCCTCCCATGTGCGGTAGCCATTGGGCCAGTCCGGCGCAGTTGGCGCGAGGCGGTGGCGCCGCACGTCGAGCCCTTTTAGGCATGCTCATCAAAACCAGTTGTTGGACCATTATAGGCATGAACCGGAAGATCTGAACATGACACTCCGATAGCTACATCAAAGTCCAGGAGACCACCCGATTGAGTGGACACTCGACTCGGGAGTCCGGCCACGACATCAATTGGATACGTGGGGTTCCAAGGTGGTTGGCACTCGAAAATGAGGCAACCCCTTGTATCAGCTCCATGGTAAGGGTGAACCACCAGGGTTGCAACCCCTAATCGAGCCCAACCTCCTAGTAGCTCTAGCGTAAGAAACATACTATAGTACCAATGTTGTGGCTCCTGGAAAAGTCTCTAGTTTCCGGTACCGGTCGAGGGGATTCTCAGGGCCCTCGTGCGGTTAGTGCGCTCATTCTTGGACCAAGATCACAAGAACTCGGGTCCTAGTCGGCTCAAGTGGAACGAAACACCATATGCTCAAACATGGCCTTCCACTGTTTCCTTCCTAACTTACTATCTCATATCACACATAGCATAATTAATAACATAGTGTACCCAAACCAAATTAACAATGTAATGACCAAAGGTAACAACTAGGGGGTAACATGGTAAAGCATAAATCATAAACATGCATACTACTGCAAGGTATGTTGAACAAAAGCTTCTACTCAAACAAGCAGGTCATGCTCAGATCAGGTAAGACCAAGGCTATATAGTGGAGTGAAAAAAATAGGCCATGCATCAGATAAGTATCAAGGACACACTACAACATCGTAAAGCCTTGCCTAGTGTCCACGCTTGGTTCAAGATCAGTTCTTGCTCACATCTCACCTCATCTCCTAGTCCTATCCGCGAACAAGCAAAGCAACACTGGAAAGAAAAATAGATGCAATCTTACTACACAGCAGAAGATCCAACATGATCATGATATGCAATGACTTGACATGGAAAGGGTGATATGCATGATCCAATGCAATTACTAAACTTCACATTTAGGAAGGGTTCCATCTTATGTACGTACACATCAAGTTTAAATGTTGTTTAACATGGCATAAAGCACGAAATAGCATGGTGATGAAATAAACTATCATATCCAGACAAGTTAACTGGGATGGGGGAACATAAACATAATGCATTCCCAAGTTATCCCAAACAAATGTGTTAATTAAGGTCGCAACATAAACAACAATTTAGCATTGGGAAGAGGGCATCAAACAATGGCGCTCTAGGAGGCGGACGACGGCGAGGTCCTCGCCGCTGCCGTCGACGATGGGCACCATGGTGGCAAAGGCCGAGCATGGGCGGTGGTCGTTGTGGAGCCGAAGGTTGCTAGCGGGAGGTTTCCACAGGGAAGGACTGGGGAAGCGTTGCTCGCGAAGGAGCCGTGAGGCACTTGGGTGCATCTCCTCGGCAGCTTCGGGTGCAGGGGCACGAGCGTGGCTCGGGGAGGGCCGCATATGGGCCTGAGCGGGCCACAGAGGTCCCTGTGTGATGGTTCTTGACTAGCTGCATGCATCTGGCCGTCGGATCTGAGATCCAGCAGCTCAGATCGAGGAAGGAGGCTTGGGATTGAGTGGACACTGAATCTGGAGGTGGGAGGAGACTGTGCGGCGGCTAGGGTTAGGTTTGGGAGTGTGTGCTAGGATGTTGTCCCAAATATGGAAGGGATGACCTACCTTTGTAGGTAAGGGGTGTTGTCGGGCTTTATGGGAAAGGTTCTAGGGGCTTTAGGTGGGCTAGCTGGAGGAGAGAAAGAAGAGTCCCAAAAGACAATTTTATTTTTGAAATTGTTATATTTATTTAGCTGGCCATAGCGCCTCATATTCAACCATTGGGGATCAAACAAACTCAAAAAGACTTGGAATTTTAAACATAGCCTCTATAACAAGGCCACACAAAACATTTCATGCGATTCAGAGTTCGTTGGATTGGCATTTTGAAAATATATCCATTTATTTGCATTTAATGGGGGCATGAACTAAGAGTTGGTAGCAAGGTCGTGGTAAAATCTGAATAAGCGGG